AAATGCTTGAAAATCTTTTGACATAACTCTAAGTAAAATGCATGTTCTAAACCCAAATAAAATGGTACATTATCGTTTCTCCTTGCTAGTCTTTAAAAGTAGCATATAAAGAAATAACATGGTTGAAGCCAAAATAAATATTTCAGTGTCTCCAATCTCACTTCGATATTTATAAACAAACTTTTAAGAAGTCATGGTAACGAGGTAAAGCTGCGCTCTGAGCCACATAACCCAGCTGCAGAATCATGGAACTTGAATGAGCGGTGCGGAGATCCAGCCTCGTCACCTTTCCCACCCTCCATCAGGAGACAGGAAACGCTTTCCGAAGGGCCAGACGCTATTCTAGACCCTGTGACCAGAGTTGCCCCTACTGCTGTGTGTGTCCTTGTAGCACCAGAGCCAGCACAGACAGAAACAGATGGGAGCTGCTGTGACCCCGGGAAGATTTAATGCGATTTTATTTTCATCTTAGGTTCACAAGCCCCTAAATATTAATTATTCAATTGATTTTTTTCCCCAACCACTTAGAGATGTAAAAACCTGTCCAACGGAAGAGTATACAAAAACAGGCACTAGGAGGGATTTGGTCCACGGGCCGTCATTGTGGGTTCCTTCTCTAGATTTTAGTTAGCGCTCTCAACTTGTTAAAAGCAAAGTTTATCCTGGCACTTGTGAAAATGGGAAAGACAACTTCATTCGGGATTAGAGCGCTATCAACACTGCTGCATTTGTGGTGTGAGACTGCGCTCGAGCCCAGAGAGCAAAACAACAGGGACTTTATAACCGGAGAGCAGAAGAGACAGGTGGGAGGGGGAAGAGGAAACAGATTCCTGCTGAAGGGAAGACAAGATCACCTACACCAGTGGTGGGGGTGAAAAACTGAGCTTCCTCTTGAGAGTGGGGGAAAGGGTCCTCTAAGGAGAGCTAACAGGACCCTTATAAAAAGCTGTGCAGACCCGGCAGGCAATGGGGCCGGTGTTGTGGCCTGTTTAAGAGGTCTTGGAACCTGACCAAAGCCTGGCCAAGGACAGCCTTCGTCAAATCAAAGGTTTCTAGCTAGTTGTCCTTGATAGGCGGTGTCCAGCGTGTGAAAATCAGGTGAGAGACGATCACATAAGCCTGTGTTTATTAGCTCAACACACAAAAATGTAGGATCCTAAAAATGTCAAACTTTCACCACAACTCATGCCCGTCTGACCCATAAAAACAACATCACCCATCAGGCCTTTCCTCACTACTCACAATTAGCGCCCTGTGGAGTAAGGAAATAGCTGGCAGTGGTCGGCGCAGATGAAGTCAATGCAGTCTCATTCCTTTGCCAAAAGGCAGGGAAATCAATTGCTGACGTCTCTTCTCCTCAGGCCTACTCGAGGGCAGCTGATGTGGAACAACCAGGCAAGACAGGGTTTGGCTTCCCCAGGGCCTTTTTTTTTTTTATTTAAAAAAAAAAAAAAGAGAGAGAATCTACACTGCTTTTTAAAAGAAATGAGAAAGGTTTTTAGAGTTGCAGCTTTTGCTTTTACCTACCCGCCAGTGGTGGGGCTTAAAACATTTTAAGTTAAGATGTCTCTATGGAAACACACACACACACACACACACACATACACACAACTTATATTTTATGGCCAGGTGATTATCAGCCTAGACTTCAACGTCCTATTGTATTACCATAGGCCATCGGTGATGTCAGCAATACCTTGGACCATTTTCCCACAACCCTATTAGTTATAATGGAAATTATGTAATTATTTCTTTTACTGAAAAAGGAGTCTAGAGTACTTTGCCCTGAGATTTCCTTTTAATTTTCATTGACAGTGTGTTGTTTAAAATATCCCTACCAAAAAAAATTTTTTTATGAATTTTGGGACATACAATGAAGAGGAAAAAATGAAATCAGATAATTTAACAGTTGCTTTTGGATTTACATAATTAATTTTCCTTCCCTCCCTTCCATCAGGGTCAAACATACTTTGTTAAAAAAAAAAGTTATAACTTCTTTTCCCCAGAGACTGCTCATTCACCGCAACCAAGAGTGAAAAAAACTGAGTACACAGTGAATTTATTCATCAGACATCTTGACCAAGTGACCAAAACTAATGTCACCTGTAGAGTCTGCTGGTCTTTGTGGGCCTCCACCTGAGAACACAGCAAACAAAAAGACACCGCTGTTGTCCAGAAGATGGTAGCAATGACAAAACCTCAGCTGTGGCGACAGGCGCAGGACAGGTATGAAAAAAAAAAAGTCAGAGTCAGCGAGGGTGGCGTGGTTCAGCCAAGAGCCGGAGTGTGCACAAGGCCCAGGCAGCCCCTGTGGCCTGTGTAGCACTGAGGAACGAAAACAGTCACAATGGGAAAGGCAAAGGAAATGTTCTAGGTTGGAAGGAGATGAAAACACAGAGCCCTAGGGTGGGCCCAGGGTTAGGGGGCTGAAGGAAATCCTCTCCAGGGTTTAGCTGAGCCAAGTGACCCAACGCTGCTGCGTTGGGTGAAAGCGTAAGAAAGATAACCTCGAGGGATCTTTAACTACAGTGTGATGATGGCACCCTACCGAGAGCACTTCATGCTTAAAAACTGAAGCGCTTAGGGGTAAAGGACCCTGAGGATGTGCGCACAACTGCCACCAAAAGCAACCAAACAAACAGAAGCAACCTGAAGGGAGGGCTGTGGATGGAGCTGGAGTGCTTGCCTAACCCTCATGAAGCCCTGAGACTGATTCCCTGGCCCTCACAAACCTGCCACAGCAGCAATCACCTATAATCCCAGCTCTCTAGTAGAGGCAGGGGGATTTGAAATTCAGAGACACCCTCAGCTGTACAGTGAGTTTGAGGCCAACCTGTGCTATGAGGGAAACAAAACACAAAGCAGGGAAGGGATTCTTAGAAAAACAAGCAACCTTGCCTACATTTGAGACTGTGGTCTCCATATTTGAAACATATGACAGGAAGAAAAGTACTGATATCTTGACATGTATGACCTTTCGTCAATGACATGTATGATCGAAGCCTGTCACAGCATGACATAACCGCCCATTCTCAAAATTTGCTACAATTTTATTTATTTATTTATTTATTTATTTATTTATTTATTTATTTTTTTGCTGGGTATTCCAGCAGCTTAGATGTAACCATTTCTCCCTAATTCCTCTTAACAGGACAGCGGCTCTACAGCTACCCTGTGCCTTGTGCCTTCCTAACCATCTCATGCACAAAGAACGACTCTTTCAGTATGGTTCTGTTGGGTATCAACTTTTGAGCTGCTCTCTTAATATTTTAAGATATGGCTAAGACTGCTGGAGAGAGCAGCCCTAGAGACTGTTTCCCTAAATACACATCTATAGTTCCTCACCATCACGGGGATATTGCCTTTGAATTCTGCAGATGTGGTGGCTATGACATACTAGCGACACTGCCCGGCAGTGGCAGTGCTGGTTCCTAGTCTACAACAGATCCAAAGTGATCTTTCCCATAGGAAACTATGCCTGTGTCCAAAAGCTCTTTGTCAGTGACTGGACAGAGAATGTTAAAGGTGGTAAAGGGAAATTAAACCTTTCCGCCCTGCTTAGGAATCAGGAAATGTCACTTAGCCATCTGCTAAAATCGAGAAAAGAACACGCTCACGGCTTTACTTTCTGGTATTATCTCTTCGCTTCCTAAGCAGGGCTTGTGTCTGGGATAAAATGCACACACACTATTTCTGGCCCTATGCTTTTAGCTTAGTCTTTTTTTTTTTTATGAATTTCTCTCTAAATTCAAACTACTCACTTCATTAAAAGCTTACCATAAAGCCACAGCCAGAAAGACCCAGTGGTACTCTACAGAGGAAAGATCCCGGGTTGCTTTGCCTACAGGTAATACCCAGAAAATGATATGAAGTCAATAGACGATGTCTGCCTGCGGGAAGGCACAGGAGCCAGAGTGAATTATGGCCAACTGAAAAAAGGAGCACACTAGTCAGGGCACTAAAATTTAATGAGAAGACAATTTTTAAAGTAGATAGAACCGAAGAGAAGGTGCACAGACCATTATAGTAAATTTAAAATCGTGCGTATTCTTCGCCCATAAACCTTCTGAAATGCCGTTAAAAACACACACGCACAAAACCACGCAATTATAAATCCTCTGAAGCATGTAACTGTGATTAGCTGCTCCCCCCCCGGCAATATAAAAATACTACCGCCACAATCACATTCCTGCCTGTAATGTAATTCAAAACAAACAAGTCGGAGACAGCGCTCAAATGGCAGAGTCAACAAACACAGCCGCTTTGCATCAAGGGCTCGCGCTGGCACTGTGGCTGGCGCTGGCACAGGCCCTGTGGTGGAACGGCGAGGCCCCCTGTTGGGCAGAGTCGAGCACTGCGCCCAGGGAGGCTCAGAAAAGCCGCACCTGGCATCGGTGATCCTTCTGGGAGATTTTGTTGTAAGGTTAAATTTTTAGCCACTCAATTTAAATTTTATCAGCTGTGTTTCAAAGAGTAATGGCTTTGTCATTTCGGATTAAATGGATCATCTTATTCAATCCCATAACCGTCATTCCTGCATTCTTATTCCAAGTATCATCTTGCTTCGACCTCCCCGGTATTGGGGTCACAGTGTGTACTATTAGCCCAGCGCACCTATCATTCTCCAGCAAGTCACGTCACTTTTCACTCGTCTCTGAAAACACGAGGTCTTGGTTTGGAGAGTACAACATCTTTGTTCTGTTCCAGAAAGATACGGATCTTAACAGAATAGTTCCTCTGTTATAAGAAACGACTTCACTTTCAGTTTTAGCTTTAAATTTTTTTTAATTGTGTGTGTAAATTGTATGGAAATGTGTGCACACGTAAGTGTGCCCTTGGAGTCCAGAAGAGAGTATTGGAGCCCCTGGGATTGGAATTACAGGAGGTTGTAAGCTGCCCAGTGTAGGGCTGGGAACTGAACCTGTATCTTCTGAAAGAGCAGTGTTTATCCTTCACCCCTGCGCCACCTCTCTAGCACCCACTAGTTAAGACCACTCCTCTTCAAAGAAGGCATGAACACAATTTTATTGTAGCAATATGCTAGGATTCAAACATGACCCTTGGGCACTGCCTTTAAAAGCATCAATTTTATTTAAGTACTTCTAAAAAATGGTCTAGAATTGGAGAGAAATCTGTCAGTATAATGGCAGAAGGACTGGAGTTCAACCTCCAAAACTTAGGTTTAGAAGAAAGGAGGGAGGGGATGGGAGGGTGTTGTGGTGCACGCCTGTAACTCCTGCACTAGAGGACACAGGAGGAACCCTGCGCATTCCTGGTCAGCCTGCCAGGGATTAACTGAGTAGTAAATTTCAAGCCAGTAAGAAACCTATCCTGAAAGAAAGACAGACAGAGAGAGAGAGAGAGAGAGACAGAGACAGACAGCAGGAAGAGGAGGAGGGTGGCTACATCTGAGGAAAGGAAAGGCACCTGAGATTATCCTCTGCTTCCACACCCACACAGGAACCCCCAACATGCACGGTCATATGCATATATAAAGTCATATTACAAACTAGCACGAGCCCAGGTCCCATGTCCTATGGGAGTTGTGGGCAGAAGTGGGTCTGAATACACTCAGTAAAAAGCTGAAGGCTTTCTTTCTTTCTTCTTCCTCTGTGGGTCTTGCTCAATCTTCCGAAGACTTGTCTTTTGTTTGTTTGCTTTCTTGTGTGTGCATGTGTGGTGTCAGTGTGTATGTACTTGTGCTTGGGGGTGCATTGTGGGGTCCTCCTAGATCACTCTTCACTCATTGAGGTGGGATCTCTCATCTGAACACGGAGCTCACCGATAAGGGCTCACTATCAACTAGTAGCTTGCTTTGGGATCTTGGAAGCCCAACTCTGCCTTCTAAGCACTGGGGTTACAGGCAGGCTGCCAAGCCCACCCAGGAATTTATGGGTGCTGGGAACTGAGGCCTCTTGCTTGCACGGCAAGTACTCTGTCACTCAGCCATCACCCCAACCCACCAAGAGCTTCATTAAGATGGGGCTGGAGCTGTGGCTGATCTCTGACCTCAAGCCTGGATTCCTCTTCCCCTTCCGGAAACACTCTTTCAGCTTGGGAAGAGCTAATAGCTGTTTACATTTGTCAGACTTTAAGAAGGGCTCATTTGTTCCCTTAACAGAGCAAATGACATGACGAGAGACACCGTTTTCCCACACAGAAACAACATATAAACATGGCCAGCGATGCCAACAGCTCTCGGTTGAGAATTCTTTGCAGGTCTCCTAAGGGCATGTGGCTTTCATCAGAATGTCAGGATTTCTGACAATCCTTTTTCCGAACTTTCGATTTTGGTGCTGAAAAAAAAAAAAAAGAGGGAGAAGCAGGAAATGAGGAATGCCAGACTTGGTTCACACCGGATTGTTTTAAGGCGGGACACTGCACCTGGAGAAAACTGACCATTTGGGTTTTCTTGTTTGTAGAAGGTCTTTAGGAGCTCCACGGCCTCCTCAGCACGGTATCCGGGGACGCACTGAGGAAGAAAGGAACATGAGGTGAGCGTCGGCAGTGACCCAACAGTAACGTATACAATTACGACACGAGCAGACTCCACACGCTGCTCATTACTCAGGACAAATAAGCAAGGATACACCAGATATATTAGCATGGATAAAGATGTCCATTTCCAAAAGAATGGTTCCCAGATTTAGTCCCCATGTCTCTCAATCGGTCACTACGGTATGTAGAGACTGCAGAGGGATGCTGTACTCATCACGTGAGATGCTCAGCAGGTGCTCATGGAGCGTGAGCTATTTTCACCTGCGATTATTTTCTAGCATTTCACCAAGCATGGGCTGCTATTCACCGAGGGCAGGCAAACTATTATTGGTGGAACAAATCCAGGCGACAGTTGAGAATGACAAGCTAGCAACCGTGTATACTTTTAAGAGTTTGTTTATCATTATTACTATTACTACTACTACTACTATTATTATTATTAAACAAAACACTATATGGCAGAGACATGTTTCTCACAAGAGCTAAAAATATTTACTATCCGGTCATTTACAGGAAACACTTTTCAAGTTTTGCTATGGAGGATTTAAGAAAACGGCGGAGTTTGTTTTCACTCTGGGATCTGGGCAGAGGAGACGACAATGTGTGGAAGACCAAAGGAGAAGTGAGAGCTGCAAGGAGCAACGAACGGCGTTTTGAAGATGAAGATGAATTGGACATTATGGAAGCAGCTGGGAAGAGTGGGGGAAGCATGGGCTGTGTGTGTGGACGCAGGCTGAAGGGCCTGGTAGGGCAGGGGAAAGCAATCAAAGGCATTGAGATGGCGCCAAGCGCTCAGGGGTTTTGGCACTAGGCTAGAGAGACTGGAAAGGCTCTAACCCATCCTCTGAAGTTTATGGAACAATTCAGTCATCCCTCAAAGTGGTGCCCAGCCAAGCACCTGCAGACCTCTCTGGGGCATTGCTGAGAAGGCACAACCCTTCCTGGAGCCTCAGCTGATGCCTGGCTGGGATCTTCCCCCATGGTAACAAAAATCTTCTTCTCCCTCTGCTTCCAAAATACGGCCCAGCTCTGTCCTCAGAACATTCCAGACTTCACTGGCCATCTCATTTCCTCTTCCTCTCATCTTTACCATCTCATGCTCTCAAGACTCCACTGTGGCTGCCTCCCAGGCATCACAAGGCACTCACTGATGCAAACATGGCCTCCTTCCCACCCCAGCTCTGTGGTCACGTCATGACTGGACACACAAGTTTCATTTAGAATCCCATCCTCCCTTGCTTTCTCAGTCTGCCATGCTAACCACTGCTGCTCAGGGTGTGCGGGGGCTGGTGCCAATGTCCCTCTGAGCCCACCAGGCTCTCTTCTCCAGGGACTGGTAATGCACTGTTTCTCCATCATTGCTGTCCAGTATAATTACGTGGGCAACATCCATGAGCACAGATGCTCCTCCCCACCTTTTTGTTCATCTGATCCAGGGTCTGAGCACAGAGAAATGCAGAACCCTTCCAGGAGATTCCAACATGTGGTCCAAGGAGAAACATGGACAAACACGGAAGTGGGAAAAATAATAATAAAAACTATGGGTCTAGATAGTAAGAAGGTATCCTAAAGTACCAACCAGAGCTGCCCATGTGTGGCTTTTATCAAAAATAATATTCTTATAAAAATAAATGCTTTGAACAGAAGAGGTAATAAAAATGAATACTGAATAGCCATTTTTTAAAACAATAGTTCCACAGAATTCTCTGTGGAATTTTTTGCTGCTTATAACACAGCATTATATGAAAAGAATCCCTAAGTCTGATGTGAGATGCCACCTCCCTTTTGTACCATGAGTTCAGCCAAAGAAAAGGAAGAGAACACAGCATCCAGAAGCCTGGCTTTAGCACGTCAAAAGAGCTCCTTAGGACATAATTTGGCATTAAGCTTTGATCCATGCTTTTAAACCATGGGCATTCATTTTCCACTGAGCCAGTATGGCCATATAGATGAACTGTAAATTAAGTTTTCAGGTTGAGAAAGACTGACTGCACTGAGATCCCAGAGAGAGAACTGCTCAAGACTTCATGTCACCAACATTCTTTTTATTTGTGTGTGTGTGTGTGTGATGTGTGTGTGTGATGTGCACATGTGTGTGTACAGGCTAGCAGGCAAGTGGAGCCCAGAACACAAGTTCAAGTGTCTGCTCACACATTCCACCTTGCTGAGACAGAGTCTCTCGCTGTTTGTCACCGAGTACAGCAGGCTAGCAGGCCAGGACTCTCCTTACCTCTGCATCCCACCTCGCCACAGGACCGCTGGATTCCAGATACCTGCTTCTGCATCTGGTGGGATCTGGAAACCCTAATTCAGGTCCTCGTGCTGCATGGCAAACACTTTACCCACCGACTGAGCTGTCTCCTCACCTACATTTTAGAGAATAATGTTCCACCCATGTCTCATCCCCAAGGACACATCTTAGTTTTGTCCAGAACTCTGAGAAATTACTTAGGCCGTTCTCACAGAGGAAGTGCCGCACGTACAGAGCCAGCAGTCCATGCATGGTTATATAAGCAGTGCTCGGGCGGCTCCTAGAAACAGCTGGAAAAATGAAGTCACTCTGCAGCCGTCTTTAATAATCAGCCTCATTTACTCCCCATCACTCTGTTACAGCCTCTTCCTGACGTGATGTTAAAGGCGTCTGTTCTTAAACACAACAGTAGCCGGGAAAGCTCACACTCAGCTGGAAAACTCAAGGCAGGATGCTTTATCTGACTCGCTCTGTGTAGGATTAGGGCTCTCTAAGTCCTCACCACAGCCTACAAACACGTGAGATCTTCAAGAATTTACCGAATCTTTTTCTTTTTCTAGTATAAATGCTGTGGGATTGACCTTCCATCTTGGAGAATGAACCACTAGAGAGAATTGGGTATGCATCCCGATATGGGGGTTCCTAATGCTCACATTTGCAACAACTGAGCTTCCAACAGTGTGATAAAGGCTCAGAGGAAAGTAGAACTTTTAACAGCTAAAGACATGTGGGTTCTCTGGTCTTGGGGAGGTTTCAACACTAAAAACATCTAAGATAATGAAATTGCAATGATGACTGGATGGTAATCATGGTATGTGACAAAGTGATGGAATTTGTGCCTAAACAATGTTGGTTGTGAACAGCATCCTGGTTGCTGATGCAGGCCGAGTTCCATCATCACAGTTACAGAGCTAGTATTTGCTCCAACAGAGAGTCTCTAAGCCCACACAAGGTGCCGGTGAAGCCCCTTAGGAGCTAACAGTTCAGGAAGCTGCAGACTGTCCTGCAGGACAGATTCTGGCAATGGAGAAGGGACACACATTTTCCTCCAGTGAGCGGTAAAGAAGTCAAGCCAGGGCCCCGAGATTCTGCCGGATGCTGCCAGGGCTGTTTGGAATACTAACCATACACAATCGATAAGTCCATCAGGAGATGAATAAACAGAAGAAAGTGGGTGGAGATAGGGAAGGAAAGAAGGAGGGAAGGAGGAGGGGAGGGAGGGAGGGACAAAAAGAGGGCATATGCAGATTCTATTACCTGAAATGGTCTCCCAGTATTGGGTAGGTCAGCAGAGGCGATGTTTAGGACGGAACCACAACCACCAAACCGTTCGTTCTGACAGCCATAGACGACCAGCGGGATTTATGGTACAGAATTAAAGTCTGTCACAGCATGCAGAATCTTGGCAAAGAATAGGCTGATGCTAATTACCTACAAAAACTGTCTAGACTTCAAAACAATTAAAGTTCATGGTTTAAAATAGTACAAATCAGTTGTACAAATGAAGAGAAAGGGGTTTTAAGTATTGAGAAACCAAAATCTAGCATGTGTGGGTCAGCAAGACAGCTCAGCTGTTAAAGCCCTCGCCATGCAAGCATGACAATGTAGGTTGATACCTGGAACCCATGTAATGGTGGAAGGAGAGAGCCAGCTCCTCAAGATTCTCACTTTGCATGCATGCCATGGCATGTGTTTGCCCACATAATAATAATAACAAACATAATGTCAACAAAAGATGAAAACCTGGCTATTGTAAATAGAACAGAAACTAAGTGTTTCTACTTAATATGCAGTTTAGCCAATTCTCTGCTCTTTCCAAAATCACTTTTTCAGAATCATTGTAGAATTAGAAATTTAATTCAAGGATTTCACCTTTTAAAACATGTAGTTTAATCCCTGGAGCCCACTGTAGAAGAGAACAGACTCCTAAAGGTAGTCCTCTGATTGCCACACAAATGCCATGGCATGTCCATGCCCCTCATAATAAATAAATAAATTTAATCTGATGGAGGAAGGTCATTGGTTAAATAATAAAGATACTGCTTGGCCCTGATAGGTTAAAACATAGGTGGGTGGAGTAAACAGAACAGAATGCTGGGAGGAAGTGGAAGTGAGCTCATACGCCTTAGCTCTGCTCTCTGAGGCAGACACGATGAAGCTCCGACCCAGGATGGACGTAGGCTAGAATCTTCCCAGTAAGTGCACCTTGGGGTGCTACACACATTAATAGAAATGGCTAGTCCAGGTGCAAGAGTTAGCCGAGAAGAGGCTAGATATAATGGGTCAAGAAGTGTTTAGTGAATACAATTTGTGTGTTGTTATTTTGGAGCATAAGCTAGCCAGGCAGCTGGGAGCTGGGACAGCAGGAATACAGCCCACAGGTCCTACAACATTAATCAAAATGTAAAAAGGTGGATGGTAGCCTGGGTGGTGGTATGTGCCTATATCCAAGCACTTTGGGGGTGGAGAATCAGCATCTTTAGGCCAACCACCATTGTGAGTGCCAGGCCAGACTGGGCTACATGACAGCTAGCCTGGGCTATGTGAGACCAGTCTCAAAACAAAAATAACAAGTCAAACCAAAATAATCACCCAAACAAAAGCCAAAGACCCAGTCGTATTGTTCCCTGTTCTTTCTGCAAGGCAGGATGAGGAAAATGGCCTAATAACTCCTCTAATAATGGTGTCAACAACTCCTCTCACACAGAGACAGTATGCTTTATTGTACCCAAGAGGCCCTCTGCATAGTTTTAAGTGATAAAACTGCACATAATTTTAAAAGCGAGTGAAGACGCACGAATAAAGAGAGCTTGCCTAGCATTCACAAGGCTCTCGGGGGCATAAAATAAACAAACTGTAGAGATGGACTGCAGTCAGCATACACATTGCTCACTCTAGGTAAGACACAATCCAGCCACGGAACACTAGCTCACGCATGTCCATGCGTGTACAACAATAACATCCGATGACATTTCCAATCCTCAGTTACTTAATTATTTAAGTAACTTAATTACTTAGTTACTTAAGTTGAACTTAATTTTTTTTTGTACTTTGTGATAGGTATTCCTGACAAAAGCAGGTTGACAGAAAATATTTAAATTACCCATAATCTGTCTTCCAAGGGCAAAGCATGTTCCTCAGAATGTGTCCTGTGCTCTAACGTAATTTGGATTCATCCTTACACAAGAGTTTAAGTCAGTTCCAAGCATTGGTTTCTGTAGCAGATGGGTTCAATAGTTTTAAGGTTATTGATACAGAGAAAGAAGAGGTAACTTCACTGTGTAAAAATCCTCCTTTCTGTTTCTGGCTGAACTTTCCAATGTGTTCCGTAACTGTTTCCACACATTAAGAAGCCGAGAGCTGGGGAGAAGCACAGCTCCATGACAGAGCATACACTTAGCACGAGCAAGAGCCTGGTTTCAATCCTCACCACTGAAAAGAAAATCAAACAGAGAAAAGAGAAAAGACATGTTATGGATCTGGCCATTTTCTTTCTGACAGGCGAGGTAAAGACAGGAAACTCAGAAGCCAAAGGATACTCATGAGGCGGAGAGCAGCTGCACACATGATACACGGCTCCACGGTGACGTACAGCACGGTGTGTTCAAATACGTCAGCAGGAGGATGACTGTGTTGATGGCACCAATCCAGGACCTGATCAATGGCTACCATTTCAGCATGCCGCGTAGCCTTGAAAGAGAGAGACCTGTATTGATATTGTTCATTTCATAACTGATGTCTTTAAAACAAGCAAAACAGAAATTCAGAGAGCATTCCTATCATTCTGTCTGAACTGGAACATTCGTGGTTCCCCAGTTCACATATTCTAACCTCACCAATGGGGATAACTAATCCGAGATAATATACAAACCTTGCTCCGGTTTTAGTGAAATTCCCACGTACCTTGGGGGAAAGTTTTCATTAAAATATCATAGAGAAAATAGGTCTCAAAAAAAGAGATGTTTATGGTTTCTGAATATTTGAAGGGAAGACTGAAATTTTCATAAGCTTGTGCTCTCGTTTCAGACAGATTTTCAACTGAGCTCACTTCACGGCAGAGCTCACTAGAATATCATCATGTGCACAGCAGGAGATGAGATTTTCTAACACAACTGGCTCCATAAAAACCCCAGACCTGAGATCTCAGCTAGTTCGTGGGAGACAGCGTACTACAGGAGAAACCACCCAGCATGTGGAATCAATCACACTGACATTTGAATCCTGACAGGCACGCTCTTTTGGTCTCAAGCGTTGGATCCTCTCTGTCTCGAGTTTACTGTTATCTCCTCTACAGCTCCTAGAGCAATCTGAGTCTCACCGGGCACAATGTGGCTTGATGCTATTTAGGTTCTCCTCATCTCTTTCCCCCTTATTAAAACAGTTTTAGAGCAGGGGAGAAAAGGCAGCTCAAAGATTAAGAGCACTTGCTACTTCCGTAGAAGACCAGAGTTCAGTTTCTAGCACTCACACTGGGTGGCTCACAACTGTCCCTAATTCCAGTGAGCTCCAACACCCTTTGCTTGCCTCTGAAGGCACCTGCAGAGGCACATGGTACATATACATCCACTCACGGGCACTCGTGCATGCACACATGCATACACACACATTGTCTCAAGTCCCGGTTTCCTGAGATAAAGCCTTCTATTTTAGACATGAGTTCCTTAAGACACAGGATGCTCTAGAGCAGTGGTTCTCAACCTTCCTAATGATGCAATCCTTTTTCTCATGTTGTGGTGGACTCCAACCATAAATTACTTTCTTGCTACTTCATAATTGTAATTTTGCTACTATTATAAATCATAATGTAAATGTGTTTTCTGATGGTCTTAGACAACACCTGGGAATGGGTTGTTTGACCCCCAAAGGGGTCATGACCCACAGGTTCAGAACTACTGTTCTAGGGGCAGGTAAAACATTCTCTCCTGCTGGGAAGCTCTGCAGACTCAGAAAGTAAACAATACAAAGTCCCAGAAACTACTAGACTGCCCCTCCCTCCTCAGGAGCACTTCAGCAATGAGGGCTGATAAGAGACACTCTAAAAGCCAGGCAGTGGTGGCATATGCCTTTAATCTCAGCACTCTGGCAGTAGAGGCGGACGCAGGCAAGCAGATATCTATGAGTTCAAGGCCAGCCTGTTCTACAAAGCTAGTTCTAGGACAGCCAGAGTTACACAGAGAAACCCTGTCTCCAAAAAACCAAGAGAGAGAGAAAGAGACTGACTCAAGACTTTTAGAGCAGCCATACTACCTAGAAGAAGCTCAGAACACCTGAGGCACTTGAAAGACATGCTCTCCCACCTGCCCAGCAGCCTTAAGGTTTCCTGCTCTCAGGAGCTATCAAATAGGCTGGGCAAGCTTTGTGGTGGAGCTGTTACAAGTCATTTTTTCTGCTCTTGTAAGTAATCCAAACCAAATTAATAGGTTCACCCAGCTTTGGTGATGCCCCTATTTTTGGTGAGTTGCTGGTTCCCTATCTGAGGTCAGCATTTGTTCACATGTCCCCAGAGTAGTGTCACACACACACACAAGAAAATAAAGCTTTAAAATAACGTAGTGCAAACTCCTAAACACAGGTAATTAAGTCAAGAAGATGTAGACAAGTTAAAGATATAGTAAGTAATGAAACTGAAACAATAATCAAAAGTCTCCCACAAAGAAAAGTTCAGGACTCGGTAGACTCATGGCCAAATTCTACCGAACGTTTAAGGAAGACCTAACACCCATATTCGTCAGACTATTCCACAAAATAACAGGGGAAAGAACACTACTGAACTGCACAATGCCAGTCTCCTCTGATATCAAAACCAGATGAGGGTACCGCAAAGAAAGAAAACTGTAGCTCATCCTTCTTGATGAACATAGATGAAAAGCTTCTCAATCTTCTGACAATCCTAATGCAAGAATGTAGTAGTTTGCACATCACAATCAAGCTGGAATCATTCCAAAGGCGCAAGGTTGATTCAACATATACAAATCGGTAATATACTTTATAAGTATATTATAAAACACAATGTACTTTATAAGTCGTCTTAAAGACACAAATAGTATGACCGTCTCAATAGATGCAGAAAAGGAATTAGACAATGTTCAACATACATTCATGATTTAAAATAAAGTCCTGAAGAAACTAAATCTTATATAACAACTGCCGTATATGGCAAGGCTACAGCCAACAAACTAAATGAGGAAAAACAAAATTATTTAAAACAAAATCACACCATGAGACAAGAGTGACCACTTTCTTTCCTCTTATTAAAAACTGTGTTCAAAGTCTTAATTAGAGCAGTAGGACCAGAGAAAGCGATAAAACGCATCTATATCAAAAGGGAAGAGGTGAAATTCTCAGTTTTGGATGGCACGAGTCTTGTGGATTCCACTAGAAAACCTTTACCTCTGACACTTTCAACATAGTGACAGGATAGAAAATCAGCATAGACAAAATCAGCCAATTGTCTATGTATCAATAACAAACTATCCAAGAAAGAAAGCAGGAAAAATTCTCACCTTCATAATAACTTTTAAAAATATCTGGAAGTAAATCAGATTGAAGAGGTCAAAGACCTCTATACTACAATGAAAACTTTAAGATAATCAAGAAAGAAATTGAAGAAAATAGAAAATAGCCCACTCATGAGCATGGATTAGCATAATTAATATTGTGAAAATGGCTGTACTACCAAAAACAACCTACAGAGTCAATGCAGTCCCCTCAAAATTCTAATGGCATTCTTTGCAAAACTATAAAACAAAATCAATTCTAACCTTAATATGGAACCACAAAAGACTCTGAATAGCTGAAGCAAAAAGAACAATTCTGAAGCAATATATTACAATACCTAACCTCAAATTATTCTACAGAGCCACTGTGATAAAATAATAAGTATTGGTACAAAAACAAACATATAGAAGTAAAGTAGAATAGAGGACCCAAAATAAATCCAGATAGCTGTAACCACCTTATATTTGACAAGTGTAAAACATATAGTGGAAATAAGATAACCTCTTCAACAAATGGTCCTGAGGAAAATGGATTTCCACATACACGAATAAAATTAAACCCATTTCTTTCACCCCACACAAAAATCAATGTCAAATACATCAAAGATATTAATATAAAATCTGAAATGTTTTAGCCCCTGGAGGAAAATTGGAAACTAATAGGTATAAGTGAAACTTTCTGAAAACTCCTAAAACTGCCAGCTTTTAGGAGCCACTGCACAGCAAGGAAAACTAAAAGCAGAATGAAGAGAGGGGCTTCAGGGTGGGAGAGAACTTTTGCCAGCTACACCTTGCTCTGAAGAGACACCATGATCATGGCAACTCACAGAAGAAGGCATTTAACTGGGGCCTTGCTTATAGTTTCAGAAGGTTAGTCCATCATGGCAGGGAGCATGGCACCGGGCAGGCAGACATAGTGCTGGAGCAACAGCTCAAAGTTACATCCTGATCCACAAGCACAAGGAAGTGGGGGGAAGGGGGGACAGGCGGGTGGAGAGACTAGGTCTGGCCTGGGCTTTTGAAACCTCAAAGCCCACCCTACTAACACACCACCTCCAAAAAGGCCGTACCTCCTGATCACCCCTAAGCAGTTCACCAACTAGGAACCAAGCATTCAAATATTTGACCCTATTAGGGACATTCCTATTAAAAGCACACAAGTGTTTGTATGTGAAGGTATGTGCACCCATCTGCATGCATATAGAAGTTAGAAGAGAATCTCAGACGTCCCATCCATTACTCTGCGCCCTGTTCCTTTAAGATAGAGTCTCCCACTGAACCGGGCAGGGCTGCAGCAATCCTCCATACCTCCATACCTTCCAATATCTTCCGATCCAGCCCTCCCACAGCTCTGGGGATACAGGCACTGACATGGCTTCACCTACTTTTTTATGTGGTTTCTGGGACTGAAATTCAGAGACCTTGTGCTTGCACAGCAAGTAATCTTACCACATTTTCCCAATCCCAAAAGTTTTATCTTACACAAAGTCTCCCAGATTCAGAAAATACTGCATGTTTTCTTTCAAAGATGGAACAAAGATTTAAAATTTCATATATGTATATATGTAAGGGCACAGACCACAAAACCATGAAAGGAAAATAAGAGTTGTTAAGGGAGAGAGAATTGGGGCAGAGGAAAAGACATGAAAAAGAGGAAGCAGCCGGGTGGTAGTGGTGCCTTTAATCCCAGTGTGCTGAAGGCAGCCGCAGGCTGGTCAAGGCCAGCCTGGTCTACACATTCAAGTTCCAGGACAGCCAGGGCTAAACAGAGAAATCCTTGAACTACAAAAGCAAAACAAACAAACAAAACCCCACAAAACAAAAACAAACAGATCAAAAACAAAACAAAAACAAAACCATCCAGAGGGCAACAGACTACCTTTGACAAAGGGGACTAGCTGGCTGTGGAGGAGAGGGACTGGAAATAAGGGCTGGGAAGAGGCCACTGTAGAACATGTATAAAAATCTAAAACAAAACAAAACAAAAAAAAGTATTACTTTGCACAACTAATTTTAAAAGAAAACTAACAAAACAGTCTAAAATAAAAGCAGTTTAATGTAAAGCACCTATGCAATAATTTATAATATCTGGCAATAACATTTATCAACAATTGATACTGAGTGCTAACTTCATACAGGCTAACTAAATTCTATATATGACTAAAAAAATTCCGTCCTCAACAAGCACACCACTGAGCAAGGCTGAAAGAAAGGTACTCATGTTCCTGTGACCTGGAGCACAGTGAGGAAAGAGCTGGCAGGGGCCCACAATGCTGTGGTAGCCAGTGGCGGACAGGAGCTAGCCTGGGTGATTACAGAACCAGAAACCCGGGGAAAGAAGGACTTTATAGAAGAGGGTATGGTTCTGGCTGCATACCAAGACAGCAAGAGAACTTAACACCAAAGATTCTTCCAAATGGAGTCTTTAAAGCTCAGATTCACTGAGAGATGGTGTCCTCACAGATCTTGATAAATACCAGTTGAACTGAAATCACCAAATTGCTCTTTTACTGCTAAAGAAACACAAGCTAAGCTGTCTTACCGTGCACTGAAAACACACAGAAAAAGAGGATGGAGAATAACAGAGCAGGGTTGATATCACAGCCCAAAGCAGAACTCTGGGCTCCTCACTCACACTGGAGTCCAGGGCCTTCCTATGCTGCATTCAAAGGGCGAGTCTACGAGACTTGACAGAGCAATAACCTTGGTTAATTCCAAAGTGTCTAAAATGTCAGTCAGTGGGGATTAGGTCATGAGTTCTCGTGTGAAACACATGATATCAAACCACGCAATATGATGTAGACACCGTGGCAATTATGTAAAACAGAACTTGGAGGTAAGTATCAACATAGCCTCTACCTGCAGCATGTGTATGATCTGCCTCCAAAGCCTTCATGCTGCCATAAATGCTGTGTGCATCTGGGTTCCTACTTTACATGAGTTTTGCTAAACTTTGAGGTTATAATGGATGAACTTTAAAGGCTCTGAGCCCCAGTGCTGACAGTAGACGGGTCTATGCTGCGGAAGCACAGAAGATCAAAGTCCATGGGAACGGCATTATAGTTATGTTATCCGTCAGTCCACCTGACACTTTAAACCCGAAAAAAATAGCACAGCCCTTTCACCTACTTCCACTTCCCATGCACGTCCACAATGACACACCGATGTGCCACCACATTTAAGAAGCACTGCTTTAGACCGTGGACCTTCCAGTCTGACCACAAGACGTCAACAAGTCACTGAGGCTGAAAGGCATGTAGCTGAAGATAGCCCATCCTGAAGACCCTATCCCATTGACTATCCAAAAACGTTTTCTCCAATATAATCCTTTCATGCTTCCCTCTAATTTGTACATTGAGAGTCTTTTGTCCCCTTTAGGAAAAAAATAAATTAAAGAAACTAAAAGGCGTGCATTGCAAGTTAAATGGATCTCCTTTGAAAAGGTTAATTTTCAGGTTGAATTTGTTACAGTGGATGTGGACTCCTTTCCCATGCGCTGACATTCTGATGTAACAAAATTCCTTCTTGGGTTTCACTCAAGTGTTAAAGGGAAACAAAATGAAATAAAAAGCAAAACAGCCGGGTGCAGGTGGCACACACCTTTAATCCCAGTACTCAGAAGGCAGAGTCAGGCAGATCTTTGTGAGTTCGAGGCCAGCCTGGTCTACAAGAGCTAGTACCAGGATAGGCACCAAAGCTACAGAGAAACCCTGTCTCAAAAAAAAGCAAAAACAAAACAAAAAACAAATGAAAAACATCTCTTAGCTTTTTGGCTAAGATCACAAATGCAGAAATAGAAAAAATAGCTTCATTGAACTTTTCTGAATATTAGCTTAAGAAATCATTGGCTATATCACTGTTATAATCAGGAAAATGAACATTTACAAAGGAGAGGAAAAGTACCTAGGGCCGGGAGATGGTTCTGAAGGTAAAGTGCTTGCTGGGGAGGAATAAGGGCCTGAACTCAGACCTCCAACAGCCATGTGAACACCCAGACATAGTCACGCACATTCACAGACAACCCCAGTGTAGAAGAAAGGAAACAGGGATGCAGGAAGGAGCTCCTAGGGTTCACTAACCATCCACCCTAGCTGAATGGATGAGCTCTAGGTGTAGTGAGAGACCCTGTCTCAAAAAGTAAGGTGGAAAGTGATAGAGGAAGGCACCTTGACCTCAACCTGCACAACCACAGACACACAGACACAGACACAGACACACACACACACACACACACACACACATAAAGGTGTACGCCTATACTTCCTGCGTGGCCAATCAGCATTTATTTAAAACATGATTGACAGAATACAGACAATTCTCCCGCACCAATGGGGAGAGACATTGACCCACAGGACACATTTGGTCTTGTCTTGCCAGCTGGCCCCTGCCATGGCTATATTATGTTTTTGCATCGATATTGCTCAACTCACATTTTTTGTTTGATTCACTTCATTTCTTCCCTTCCCCACAATTTCATTGTTATAGACCATAAGGCAGCCAACAGGAACTTCAGTATTTTCAAGTGCTTCTTTGGCCTGAAACACAAAGAGGAAACATCTCAGTGGTGATGTGTTGGGAAATACTATTTTCAGGTGTAACTTTTGTTTACACTGCATTTGTTTAACTCTGTGAAGCTGTGTAACTGTGCCTGTCTAAACACCTGATGGTTTAATAAAGCGCTGAATGGCCAATAGCAAGGCAGGAGTAAGGATAGGCAGGGCTGGCAGGCAGAGAGAATAGAAAGGAGAAATGAGGAAAAAGAGACAAGAAAAAGGAGAGAACACTAGAGGTCAGCCACCCAGTCACTTGGCCAGCTATGGAGTAAGAAGGAAAGTAAGGTATACAGAAGTTAGAAAGATAAAATCCCAGAGTCAAAAGGTAAACGGGATAATTTAAGAATAATGGGCAAAAAGCAAGGCAAGCTAAGGCCGGGCTTTCATAACTAAGAATAAGCCTCCATGTGTGATTTATTTGGGAGCTGGATGGAGGCCCCCCCCCCCAAAAAAAAAAGAGTAAAACATCCCACAACAGTTAGGTGTGGAGCTTGAAAGCCTACGCAAAAGAGGAAAAGAGCGAACAGACGCGCGGATAATGACCAAGACAAAACATGCCTGCGCTTCCCCTTCTCAGGTCTGGTGTCTTGGTGCTGTGTTCTCTTCAGGGTGTCTATGTTAAGAAGACTCAGGAATGTCTCCCTTCACAAGCCCTGAGCCTCTTTTTCTCTCACTGGTAGCACAGGCAATCAATGGCTTTTGACTGGTGTTCTTAAAATTCCAAAGCCACCCCTTCTCAGACATGATACGTATAGTTACAAAGAGGTGGGATAATACATAATATATCTATTTTTTTCTTCTTTAAGAAGAAGAAATGATCCCATGGAGTACCAATATCATAAAAAGGACCAGAGTGGATGTCGTTCCGTCCAACAACTTCTAAGAAACATGTAAGTTTAGGGATATTTTATATAAACATGGCATACACTTGGAAAATACTTTGGACGTTTCTTTTAAAAACCAATATGCATAAAATCTATGATCCACATTGCACAGAAGCACACACAATTTACACAGTAAGCTTAGGAAACTTTAATAAGCTCTTCGGAGAATACCAACGAGATATCCCTGGCTCTGATCGTGTACCGCGGTTAGAAAAGCTGTAACACTGAAGAAAACTACAGAAGTGGATCCTCTCTATGTACATTTTTCCTTTTTTGCAGTTTCCTGTGGTGTAAAATTATTCCAGAAGGAAAAGACAGTAACTATAACTAAATAAGAGTCTAGCAAGCCTATTGAGGGAAGGCCGTACTATTGACTGTTACAGAAGAAAAATAGAAAAAGACAGACCAAAAAGGAAGGGGTATCAGCTGGGCCAGACCAGTGACAGAAGTAATTTAGATGGAATGGCAGAAAAAAAAAGCATTGTCTTGAAAAATGATTTCCTGTAGTTCAGATTCTCAGCTTCCAAGTGGACATTTCCCAGTAGCTCTCCTAAGAGGCAACACCGTGTCTACACCTTATCCCGAGAGGTTGAAAGTTAAGTTATTCTTTTGTTTTGCAAGTGTGGTTTGATCTGGGACTATTTAAACACTTCATAACTATCAATCCCTTTTCGTTTATAATCCTAAAGTGATAGGGACACAGATCTCCATTGTGCAAATGAGGAAACTGAGGCACCGGGAAGTGCCTTGGCCATCTGAGAGATTTGTAATGAAAGTCTAGGAAGTTTGACTTTCTTCCTTACACACTTCACAGATTATTGGAGCAACTGTTAGCATCAGGTGCTGGGTTCTCTGCATCACCAGCGATTTCACTGATCAGACACTTCATCCAGTTTGGGGCTTAGAGTTGGTCAAGAGCCAAAAGGAGTGGGCAGAGTCAGAGGGAGAAACATGGAGAGTTGGAGACTAAAAACTGTAAGAGGATGAACAGAACATGAAGAACTGGAGCGGCAATGGCAGGGGGAGCTTCAAACACACAGAACAGAACCAAAGACAGGGCCAGGAACATGGTTCAGCAGGTAAAAGGGCTTGCTGTGAATGCCTGATGGCCTGAGTTCAATCTCTGGATCCCACAAAGGAAGGAGAAAACTCTGCCCCCTCAAAAGTTGTCCTCTAATCTTTATACATGTGTAACTTGTGCACATACGTGTGCACACACATGCACATGTACATATACAACACACACACACACACACACACACACACATTAAATTATTTCTTAAATTCCCCAACCAAGTAAAGGAAGTGCCTAGGTGGGAGGAAAGAGATAGGGAGAGCCAATAGCCCTGGTCACTGTGCACCTGACATGGCCCACAGCACTGCTGTCTGGCAGCCTTTCTCTGCCACCAGGTCAAGAGAGGACTGGGCGTCATGGTATCTAGTTCCTCTGGGTCCTCTCTTTTTCCTCCCAGTCAGTTTATCTCCCTAGAAATGATAGGAATGACCTAAAAGAGACAAACAGCATTGCTGATAAGGAATGGCCCTGTAGGCCATGCTGAGAGTGGGTGTAATGGCAGTCCAGAGAAAAGGAGCTTAGAATACAAAGTCTGTGCGAGCCGGTTTAGAAGCACTGTCTTCCAATACATTTCCATGAAAGTGCGCACACGTTTCCTCTACTGACAAGTTCAAAACTTGTACGAAAGCCGGACATCCATGTCACTCCATCCTATCTCAGACTTTCCAGTGCCCCTCCCACCTCTTCTGGCCACTCCCTTCCTCCCGTCACTTGTGCAAAAGAGTTCAAGCAAAACAGGTCTAATAGTGTAGACAGCTTTGAACTTAAGAAGCTGGACTTCTTTGGAAGAGGACAAAGCTCAGCCACTGAAATGACCACTTGATCTTCCATAAACTAACAAATTCTCAACTTCAAAACTGAAGAAAAAGCTCTCTTCTTCCCATCCCAGGTTCTGAGAAAGATAACAAAAAAAGTGTTAACAATAATAAAAAGGAGAATATATTATTCCATTATATGAAAAAAATGTGTGCTTTTGTATTCACAAGGACAGAAACACTTGAAGCATGCTCACAAAATGTCATCAATGCTATCTCTGAGGTCAGGACTTTAAGTAATTTTTGCATAACTTGTTAAATGTTCTAGACTTTATTATGAATGTGAACTTTTATAAACATTAGAAAGAAAAGTTGAAATATTTTAATTTTGTAAAAGAATAAGCAAAAAGAACATTCCAACATCAATGGCTGAGCTCAGTTCTAAGGCCTTTATAAAGGTGAGAACAAATCGGTGTGTGGATGGCTATACCACCTAGATCCCTGTTAAGTACATTTCTTAATGTTCACAGAATGAAAACCTAACACACACACACATCTATCCCTGGCACACATCAATATGGATAAAGCTTGGAACAAGATGTAAATACGACCAGAGCCCTCCATAATCAGCAATCCTTAAAGGGATCGAAGAAAGGAAATACAAGGGCAGAGAAAAGTATTGTAAAAAAATAAGCGAATGATAGGTGAGGATTGTACACGTTTTCATATGACTCTCTACCAGAAACAGCTTCAGCTTCCTTCCGTTTTAAATGTTCAAGGGTGTCGAGAGCAAAGCACATAATAAGGTGGCTGTGTGGATCTGAAAGTCTGTGTCCATCCATGGAGAGGAAAGTAGACAGGTAGGTACAATAGCAGCTAGGGCTACATGTACTACATATGGCACACCAACCGTTCTCTGTATTTTCCCTCAACCCCAATTATTATGAGACAAAGCTAAAGAAAATTTCCCGAGAATAAAACAAGCGGTTGATCTAGATATTTTGAGAGCCGATAGGCAAAGGTGATGAGAAAGCGCGCCAGCCACATTTGCTCAACTACCCGGGTCAGGGTATGGCCGGGAGAAAGTTTGCGCCCTCATCATCCACCTGCCGGCTTCCTCACCATCCGCATCGCCTCCTCCATCCACTTTTCGGTCTCCTGTGCCGACACCACGCACGAGCCGTCTGGAGCAGTGGAGGAGTCCACCTTCTCCTCCATGGTGCCGTCAGTCAGACACCCGGGCCGTGGAGCCGGAGGAGACCGGACAGCAGCGGAACGCGGCGGGCGCGGGCTCTTGCTTCCGGGAAGACAGAAAAGGGCGAGACACCCGGGAGCTATTTGTGGACGGACCCAGGCGTCCCGGACCTTAGTAAGCGGCGGCGCCGGGAGGACCGAAAGCGCTGCTGCTCCGCTCTAGTCCACGCCCCCTTCCTCCGCTCCGGCGAGAACCTCTGCGCCAAGAAGCGTTTGTGCTTTCAGGAGAGCACCCAGCACCGCCGCCGCGCTCCAGCCGGAGGTCTGGCCCAGGTAGACGAAGACACGGTTTCCTGGTGAGGCAGCCCCTCTCCCCTAGGTAACCCACACACCCAGGGTCTGAAGATGCTGAGATCAATGTGGAATTTTCTGAAACGTCACAAAAAGAAATGCATCTTCCTGGGCACAGTTCTTGGAGGTGAGTGACAGTGTGCTTTGGAAGGGGACTTTGGCAGAAAGGAGGGACAGAGATGACTTCCCAAACAGGCAGGGCCCACCGATCCTAGTCGAGGGATTGGCTCAACCGTCAAAGAAGAACCTCTGGGGTTCTTTTATCTCCTCTCTCTGTGCCCTTTGCCCCTCATCTTGTCCCCCTTCTCTTCCCGCCCCCCCCCCCACGGGACTTTGGAAAGCTACCCCAATGAAGTTTCTTTTCGAAGCTCCATTCTTATACAGATAACATTTGCCTTCCTATTATATCTTCTGTTGCTTTCCTGTTAGATTTCTTCATTCTTTTTGGCACCAGTACTCTGGCTTTTAACCTTTCGCAGGAGTTTCGAAATATTCTGGGGGCAGTTAGCTTAAGCCTGCACTTGGGGTAGTGTTTAAAGCTAACTTGAAAACAGGTGTAACATGCTGCTGTAAGATACCCTAAATAAATGGGGGGGGGGGTATTTTTATTCTCCAGTTTCAAAATACCAATTATGCATCAACAAAACGCCATTGTTGCTCATTACTGACTGAGAGGAGAGTTAGAAACACGTAGGATAAACAAAATCTAGATGATGGACTTGTGGCTTTGTGATAGAGCGCTTTCTTCAGCTGGCTGCATTAGATCTCAGGCAGTAGTACACAGGCACCACTTTCAATCCCTTGTCTTCGTAAAACACACAGTTCATAATTCTGGGATTTTAATAAGGGAGTAGAAAATTTTTTGAGTTACACAAAAAGGAAACTTGGGAACTTTAAAAGAATTTTTTTAAAACTTGACTTTTAAGAAATGTCATCACTATCCACTTACTCTAAAATAGTAGGTCACTGATATGGCAATAGTCACGTTCTGCTTGTCTCTGCTTCTCATTGGATAGTGACTGATAATCACCTTTGAGAAATACTCCTTCAGCCTCTACTATCTAAGCAATATTTAAATTACACCAATATTACAAAATACATATGTGAAAGATAAAGATGTGTGTCTCATAGAAGACATATAAGTAGAGATTTTCAAAAATAAATAAATAAATAAATAAATAGAGATTTTTTTTTCCTCTGCTGAAGGGAAAAAAAATTGTCTCTCACAATTTTGGAGGGGAGAGCCTACCCCTTAATGGAAGATCGGAAAAATTCATAGGAGAAGTTAAAGAGTATATGAATATGGTAATATATTTTCTTTTGAAGCTCTGTGGAGATCTTTATAATTGCAGATTGAGAGGAAGGAAAAAGCTGGGTGTGGTGGCACACGCCTTTTATCCTTGCGCTTGGAGGCAGAGGCAGGCAGATCTCCTGAGTTGGAGGCCTGGTCTACATAGTTGAGTTCTAGAACAGCCAGAGTTTCATAGTGAAACCCTGTCTTGGAAAGAAAAAAAAAGAAAGGAAGGAGAAAATACTTAGAGGCATAATAGAAGCACTGCAACTTTCTAGCAAAATAGAAAATATTAAAAGTTCAGCATATCTAGTTTTGATTTGTAAAGAGATCATATTTTTTCAGTGTCATGAGGAAATGCCTATCTGTATTTCAGTTTAAGAAATGTTTATTAATTGAGTGTACTGCTGGAAGTAGTATACAAGTTACAGATTTTTAATCATTAACATTTATTAGAGACCCACTGTATGTTGAACACTATGCTAAGCTCTTTCCAGCCAATGGAAACTAGAGCAGGATAGTTATTTACGCCATTTTTAAAATGTAGAAACGAGAGCACATAGAATTAAGAAGCTTGCCAAGGGTTTGAGTTACAAGGAAGTAAGAATTCAGCCCCAGATGTGTTAGAACCCAATGCACATTATTATTCTGTACTTTACCACTCTGCCTTTGTGGGTTCTTTGATCTTTTAAGAACTGAGAAATAAGTGAAAGACCGTTGTATTAAAAGACCATGAGAGAGTTAAATACAGAACATACTGATATGTAGCAATATGGAATTGTATACAGTGAGGAAGGATTTCACAAGAGTGGCACAGTTGGACAGACTTGAAAGCTGACTAAGGTGTTATACATGCTCAAAGGAGTACAGATATTGAGTGATGGAAAAATACAGGCAAGCAGAACTTTGAGTAGCGTGACTTCAAAAGTTAGAATTTCTGTTTTCCTGTATTTTGGATGATAATTGCTTCATGCCTGTCTATGCAGTTTGATCATTTGAGACAGGCCAAGAGCAGTGGTTCTCAAACTGTTTGATAGGAAGTCTCCTTTGTACTCTTAGAAACTAAGCCCCTCTCCAAGATACCTAAGTTCTGTATCTATTAACAGTTTTAACATCAAATATAAGATGGTTTTAAAGTAATTATTAGCCCATTTGTGATAACAATAATAAACATGTTAAATATTAGCATAAGACATCTTCACAGATAAGAATGGTATTGTTTTACAATTGCAAAACTCCTTATTTAGTTTGGCTTAGCTGCAAAATAAATTTGCGTACCTTCTGTAGTCAGTGAAACCACCCATTAATTAGCTTCTAAATTCTCCCCATCAGGAAAAGAGTGTAGAATGCCAGTGACAGCATTTTAGTATGACAATAGTATTGTGGACCTTAGAGATACCTAAACCGACTCCAGGGATGTTTAGACCATACTTTGAAAACCATTGTACAAGAGAAAGTGTTAGAGACCAAAGGAGCTAGATACATATTTATTGCCTTACTGATTTAAAAAAAAAAAAAAAAAAAGCACAGAACACTGAGCTGTATCTTAAGCCTTGTAATTTTTAACCTCTTTGGATTTTGGTTTTCTTTTTCTTATTTTTTTTTTTTTTGTCATTTATTTACTCAACATTTGGATAAGAACAAGGCCTGCTCTAACTATACTGGGCTCTGACTGTACAAGGAATAATACAGCATTTCTGAACTCATGATCTAGTCTGGAAAATAGGGATAGAAATAAGCAAAAGCAGTATGAAGTATGAAAAGCCTTCCTAACTATGCCACTGTGTATACTGTAGGAGGATTGTGTGTGTGGTTACTTTTCAGATTTTACTATGGATGAAACCATTGAAGGAATTCGGAAGAATATAGAACCCTGCCCTTCAGATTCTAGTTCTTCAGATGTAGTACAGTTCAAGAACGCCTCATACTGGAGGCATTGAGATGCCACCAGGTGGTACAGCACTGCCTACTATGGACAAATTTGTTAGTCAGCACTGGAGAAAAAAGTGAAATAGAACCCAAACATCGGAACTTGGGGATCTGCCAAGTTAGAAGTGATACTGGTTAATTATTTTCAGATTGTTATAGAAAATAATTGTGCTGTAGTCATTTTTATCCTGAAAGACAAGATTAAGAGGTGGTTTTAAAACAGATGATTTATACAAAGACTAGCCATGCTTTACTAGCCATGAAAGGAAATGTCAGAACATTTTCACTTATTTTTTGGGCATTTAATAGATATTTTCATTGCTAATAAAGAAGGTTATAGTTACAGAGGAAATCTGAAACTACTTGATTTTACACAGATGTATGCCCAGAGAGAAAAAGTCACCTGCTCCAAATCCCCTCACTTGCTGTCGTTTTCTAGTTCAAGAGTCAGGCTGCCAGTGAAGTATATATAGGCCTGAGTGTTATAGCTTAACTCATGATATGTTTTCTTTCATTAATATTTTCTAGAGAAACATCTGAAAAAGTCAATTTGTGGATTTTGTATATGAGATCTTAGTGAGCTAGACCTTGAATAGGAATGAATATCAGTGCTAGCTAAAAGAAAACAATGGGTCTAGAGCTTAAGCCTAATTTCACGTGTGACTTTTCTAGGGATTCCACAGTGAAGACCTCCAAGATGAGTACCTTAAGAAACCGAAATTTATCTTACAGTTTTGAAAGTTAATAGTCCCCTATCAGGGTGTCAGCAGAGGGTGTTCCTTCTGTCATATGGCCATCTTGTTTCCACGGTCTTCTACAACAGAAGTCTGACTGCCTTAAAGCCACAGAGATCCTCTAGGAGCCTTCGATTGCCTTCTCTCTGTGCATATCCGTCTCAATTTCACTTTTTTTACAGGATACTGATCATGTTGTTTTGGGGCCCATTGATTTCAGTTTGTATTGACCTCACATTCCAAGGTGCTTCAGCTGTCAATATACTAATCTGGTGCAAAGAGGGAGTGGATAAATTCAACCTGTAGCAAATCATTTCCCTTTTTAGCTTTAGCTAGAGTATACTGCACTTCCCAAGTAAATACAGAATTCCTAAGGTTTTACTTTTTTAAATAAGATTTATTAAGAATATGATGAAAGAGACAGGCCATCTCCCCAAGAAAATACACAGGGCAATCAAATTTACCACTGTTCCAGAAAAATTATGATCTATGCAAAGACTGTCACATCAGCAATCAGTTTACAATATAACTTGAGAGATAATAATCACTGTGTATGTAACTTTCAGTAATGTGTTATGGAGATAAGCTACAGGCAATTCATTCAGAGCTAGCTGCACTAGAATTGCCTGTTGGAGGGTCAGTTTCTTCATTCTCTTGGGATTTTAGTGGGGAGAGGGGAATATGTTCTCACAGGCTGCCCTCAAAATGGTGATACCCCTGCTTCAGCTGGAATTATGGGTGTGAGCCACCATGTCTCTCTTATTCTAATGATATTGTGTCTGTCC